CTGAAGCACCAAATAATGAACAATAATAAAGATGATGAACAAGTCTTGCACCTGTTTTGTGCTTTTACAGGCTCGTCGAAGCTGCAGACATTATTCACTCCAGACTCAGAGGCGGTGAGCTGAATCATTCACGCACACTCCACTTTTTTATATGATGAGGGTCTGAACAGAGAGACGCAAAAGTGGCGTCGCATCTTCACTTTTTATTCCAGGTTTAAGACGAGTGTTTTCTGGAGTAAATCTGCTGCTTACGGTGATGCAAAAGTGTGTGGATTTGGATTGTGTGTGTTTGTACTAAAAGCAACAGCGGCGTCTTTGGACACACAGAAGTTTTCACGTCACACATTTTCATCAGCTCCTCCTTCCACAAAGTCGTCCCACCATCGACCGGTTCTCCAGGTCTCGTCCAGGTCCGTCTGACTCGACTGCGACGACCTGGTGCGTCCAGAATCTGACAGAGGTGATTGCAGATCCTTCTCTGTTCAACACCCTCGACATTTGTTGGGAGCCTCCTGTAAGTTTATCAGAGTCCCAGAACAGCCTGGAAATGATCCGACATGTTTGTTTCTGTGTCCTGTCTGTACGTGACGTAAACACGTAACGTGAGCACATCTGACCAGAGTTTTGTATGGAGTAAGAAAGCTGTCAAAAATATTTGTGCGCATAAAATAGAAATCCGTGCATATTTGGCTGTAGTTGCGCATAAAATAAATATCTGTAAACTCTCAAATGAGTCCAGTCGTACATAAAATATATTGTGTGTATTTTATCCATCAGAATACGAACTGAAAAGTTACGACGTCAAGAATTACAACCACGAAATGAAAATTTACGATTACGCTTTCATCAGTACAAATACGAATTCACAGACGGAACTTTACTGTCAAAAATACGTCATCACTTCACAGACATTATCCATCGAGCAGAAGAAACATCGATCAAGATTGAGTCAAGTTGTCAGCAACAAGTAAGCTACAACAGCTACAACAGCGACCAACAAGTGGGTTCATTCAAATCTATTGTAAAAATGTCTTTCTCGCATGAAATGCCACCAAAAGTTCCTCCGGACGCTGAAATGTCCCAGTTTACACCAAACACGACCAAACTGTCCTGGTTACGACGTCACAGCCAATGAAATGTTCCACATTACAGTTTAATGCAGCTTCCAGCATCAATTAATGTTGGTGTTTACAGGCAACACCTTGGTATGTTTACAGTATTTACCGGTAAGTTTAACGTCACCGTGACGTGGATGGATTTGCTCATTATAACCCATTATAACTCATGTATAACCCATTATAACTCATGTATAACCCATTATAACTCATTATAACCCATTATAACTCATGTATAACCCATTATAACTCATTATAACTCATTATAACTCATGTATAACCCATTATAACTCATGTATAACCCATTATAACTCATGTATAACCCATTATAACTCATGTATAACCCATTATAACTCATGTATAACCCATTATAACTCATGTATAACCCATTATAACTCATTATAACCCATTATAACTCATGTATAACCCATTATAACTCATTATAACCCATTATAACTCATGTATAACCCATTATAACCCATTATAACTCATGTATAACCATTATAACTCATGTATAACCCATTATAACTCATTATAACCCATTATAACTCATTATAACCCATTATAACTCATGTATAACCCATATAACTCATGTATAACCCATTATAACTCATGTATAACCCATTATAAACTCATTATAACCCATTATAACTCATGTATAACCCATTATAACTCATGTATAACCCATTGTCTGAAATGCAGCTGAAGGTTCAGACTGACTGATGTTCGCTGTGGCTGTAGCCGTGAATGTTTTAATCTAAACATACAGAGAACCTGATATTTGTTAATTAGCCCTGGGATAACGTTACATCTGATGTTGCCAACTGGCTCCACTATGTTTTCTAACATATAGGTGCAATTTCCCGTTCAAAGGAGGTGTTTCTACACAATATTATACAGCAGCGTTCGGTTCCCAAATTCAGGACATTTTTACAATACATTTTAATGAACCCACTTGTTGGTCGCTGTTGTAGCTTCTTGTGTCATTACTCTGTTTTTACTCTGCTACAAACTTGAGCTGCACAGTCTTGATCTTGATCGATGTTTCTTCTGCTCGATGAATAATGTCTGTGAAGTGATGACGTATTTTTGACAGTAAAGTTCCGTCTGTGAATTCGTAATCGTACTGATGAAAGTGTAATCGTAAATTTTCATTTCGTGGTTGTAATTCATGACGTCGTAACTTTTCAGTTCATATTCTGATGGATAAAATACACACAATATATTTTATGTACGACTGGACTCATTTGAGAGTTTACAAATATTTATTTTATGCGCAACTACAGCCAAATATGCACGGATTTCTATTTTATGCGCACGAATATTTTTGACAGCTTTCTTACTCCATAGTTTTGCGTCTTGGGAGTGTAGATGGAAATGCTGCGGCGGAGTGTATTCAGCTTTTCCACTCTGGATGGTGGTTTCAGATTTTTATGTTTTTAAGCCCCAAAAACGCCGTCACCGTCTAAACGAAAGACACTTCTGATAAAATATTTAGTCATTTTTTACTTGCAAGCGTTCTCGTGTAAACAGACCTGAATGTTTATCCTTTGTGGACCTTGTTGGTTGAAGATCTGGTGATGGGGTAAGCAGATTTATGAAGCTGGTGGAAAATACGCCGGACAAGTATTTCATTATAAAAAAGCATTAACCTACAGCGCAAGACTTCCGGCAGTTGTGAAAAAGGTTCCAGGAGAGATCACAAAATGACTCAAACATGCATGGATGACTCTAAATCCTCTTCAGGTTTGTTTTTGATGAGGGAACATTCTAACATGGTGGAAATCTCCAAAAAGTCCATTTCTGCATAACACCAGCGTGAGTATCAATCAAAACATTTGTGAAAATACAACAGTAAATCTGTGGATATATTAAATGTTTTTATTGTTATTAGTAGTAAAATAGTCTGTACAAAATTATGAATAAATGTAAAAATTAATGAAAAATAAGTGACATAAGTTGGTCTATATACAACAGCTGTGAAACTCTATTAAAGGTTGTATAGAGGATTTTCCAAGGAACGAGAAATCCAGCTCCCTACGTAGAAACGCCTCCTCCCTCCTCCTCCTTACGCCATAAACAGGTTTGTTTACAGCCGGTGCGCTGCACATGACTTGTAAACAACTAACTACAGTGTTGGTTAGGCAAGACGGAGAAGTGAGGAGCGGGGAGAAGAGTGGATCGGGCAGCAGGGAGAGGAGCAGGAAAGGGGTGCAGAGAAGAGTGCGCGGAGATTTCGTGCGAATGAACTAACTACAACACGCAGCAGCAAGCGGACTCTTTCTTTGCCTTGAAAATTACGTTTTCAGACATAAGATATCACTTTCGTGTCCTGAAAAACGTTTGTCTCGCTCTTGGAAATAAAGTACGTTTTCATAATAAGCAGAAGTTTCCTGTCCAGGAGTAATTTGTGGACCAGTGGTTCAGTCTTTAGACCCTGCGTCTGCTTCAGTCGCGCCATCGCTGGAATGAATCTCCAAGAATCACCTTAGTTTGGCTTCGCTGCTTTTCCCCTTGTCTTCTTCTTTCAGCGACCTCAAAAACAGACTTTCTTTTGCGGCGAACTGCTCCTGGATTCTTGTCGCCATTGCAACAAAGTTTGTGCGAACTGCGAGGAAGATATAGGTCAAAAAAAGCCGCTCAGAACTGTAAACAGTGTCTGTGCGTCTTGCGTCTGTGGACTGCGTGACAGTCGTACGTAAACCACGTACCGGCGGCGCAGGCAAGTCAGTTACACTAGAAACGTAGGGAGTTTGATTGACAGCCTGTCAGCTCACAGATAACGAGGCAGTGTCGTTATCTATTGGCAAATGTTTAGCCCCACCACGTCCAGAGTTGATGAATTTTTATTCTCTTTTTTTTTGGTCATCATAATTACAAGGCTACTGCATCTATAATCTATCGTTGACAACTTGAAACAAAAAAATCCTCCATACAACCTTTAAGAAACACAATGAAATATTGGAACAGTTGACGCAAATTTTATGAAAACTCACTTCAACTTAAACCTTTGAATCTTTTGCCATGTTTGATCCCTATTTAGAATTTATTACAATTTATATTCTTGCAGATCAATAAAGTCTAAGTGCACCAGACAGTAAATTTAATCCAAATGAAAATACAATCTGAGATAATTAAGAAATGAAGAAGATGTGATTATTTTTATGGAAATTATTGCACAGGAAATTATGCAAAATCAACAAAGTCCTGAGTCTCTGGAGTGAAGTTGGTCAAGATTCTGTTTTCACTCCAAAGGCTGAACAAAAAAAAAGCATTAAAGAGATAAAACTGAAAAATCCATGTATTACTCATTCATTAGTTTTTCAAAATAAAACCAAAAATAAGAAAACGAAAAAACAAATATTTTCTTCATTATTTATCTCCAAAACCAAAATTTAAAAAACGGGTAATGATTCATTATTTTTGAGACCAGGACTGAGACCAGGATTGAGACCAGGACCAGACCGGGACCAGACCAGAACTGAGACCAGGACTAAGGTTGGGACCGGACCAGGATTGAGGCCGGGACTGAAACCAGGTAACATGACCAGGACTGAGGCCGGGATTGAGACCGGGGCCAGACCGAGACTGAGACCAAGGCTGAGACTGGGACCGGGGCCGAGACTGGGACCAGACCAGACTGGGACTAAGACTGAGACCAGACTTGGACTGAGACCAGGACTGAGGTCGGGACCAGGGGACCAGACCAGGACCAGACCGCGATTGAGACCGGGGCTGAGACTGGGACTGGGACCGAACTGGGACCTAGACTGGGACTGGGACCAGACCGGGACCGGACTGGGACCAGACCAGACAGGGACTAGACTAGGACCAAGACTGGGACTGACTGAGACCGGGACCAGACCAGGACTGAAAATGGTTCAGTCCTGGTTCAGTCCTGGTTCAGTCCTGGTTCAGTCCTGGTTCAGTCCTGGTTCAGTCAGTCCTGGTTCAGTCAGTCCTGGTTCAGTCCTGGTTCAGTCAGTCCTGGTTCAGTCCTGGTTCAGTCCTGGTTCAGTCCTGGTTCAGTCCTGGTTCAGTCCTGGTTCAGTCCTGGTTCAGTCCTGGTTCAGTCCTGGTTCAGTCCTGGTTCAGTCCTGGTTCAGTCCTGGTTCAGTCCTGGTTCTCACAGTTTAAGTCGCGTAAACGTCCGTTATTCATTTTTTCCATTTTTCATCTAAACACAAAATAAAAAAACTGAATAAACAAATCATTATCTGTTTTTTTAATTTTGGTTTTGGAGACAAATAATGAAGAAAATAGTTGTTTTTTTTTCATTTTCTTATTTTTGGTTTTATATTGAAAAACCAATGAATGAATGACACACGGATTCAGAAAGAATTTCTCTGAGCTGCAAACATGAAGCAGCGAGTCTCAACCACTCGCTCTTCTGTAGAAAAACACACTGTGGTGATGGTGAGATGAGGTGATTTGTGTGTGAACCTGACAAATGTGAGTCATGCAAACAGAACTCAACAGTCACAAGTTACAGAAGAAAATATAACATTCATTTTTCCAACAGACTTCCCAGAAAAAAAAAATATTACAAGATTAAGAGTGTGAGGTTCCCACTCTTTTTCACTGACAAAATTTAAACACTTTTCCATGACTTTTTCATGACCTGAAGTGAATTTTCCAAGACTTCACAGCACCTACATGTGTAGAACTGATCAGACTTTTAGGGCTAAATCTGAAATGTGAACTCTTTCTACTCACCTTATGGTTTGGGATTATAGTTTTTTAACATTCAAAATCCTGTCGTCTCTTTTAAACAAAAGGTGCAGACGTTCAGAAATAATCCGAACAGCCTCGTGAGAACTTAACAGAACGCTGGAGTTATGTGAAATTCCATGACTTTTCCAAAACTTTCATTGAATTTACAAAATTCCATGATTTTTCAATTTCCATGAAACTCACTGAGGCTAGGATATGAACGGATTTGGAATAGGAATTAAAAAAAAATTAAAAAAAGCACAATAAAACACCAGGATCATGTAGAGCGGGTTAATGCAAACATTTTAAAGACCATTTTGAGTTGCTTATACCGGTTTAGTTTTTTATTTGTGTTTTATTTAATGTTTCTCTAATTTTATTTAATTTTTATTTTTATTGTATTATTTTTGTATTTTATTTGTATGATTTTATTTTTGTATTATTATTATTTTAATTTAATTTAATTACATTTTATTACTAATTCTTTCCTTATCTATATTAAGTATGATTGATCCCCTTGGATTTCTCAATAATAAATACATTTAAAAATACGAAAACAAACCAAAAAAATTTATTGAAGCAGAGACACTTGAGATTCGATGTTATTGTGAGACTTTTGACGGTACGATATCACAATATTTCGATTATTGTTACATCCCTAGTGGTAAATATTGACATCACCATTGGCATTTGGCATCAAATTTGGGGTTTTAAATGTGCTTTTTGTATAGGTGAGTTTCATTGTTGACAAAAGCGCGCGTTGCATGCTGGGAATTATTTTGTTCGGCGGCAAGAAACACTAATTGAACATGACGGATGGAGCGAGAAAACACGTAAAGGGTATTGATCCCGGTTATTTATCCACTCTAACGGCAGAGGACCCAAGACCATTTGACCAGAAATTGGTCATAAGCATCGATGGAGCCAAATCACCCTTTTCAACCCCGACAAAACCAAATTTCTGGTCAGAATCTCCAACTACCTGGACAAATATTCACTTGGGCGATATCCACAATGACTTGGTGGAAACTCCTGGGCCATTCACAGCAGAAAAGATGAAAACCTCCAAGAGTCTCGATGTGTTGTTGAACTTGTTGGAGTCCACGGTTTGTTAGGATCTTCTACGTTTGCTCTGCGGATGTTTGAAAGTCGTTTAATTCACCGTTAGCGGTTCTTTTCACTCAGAATACGAAAAAGACATTTTCCTTCTTCCGTGCTTCTATTTGTGCATCCGATAATGCAGCAGGAATTTACCATTATCGGGGATAAATACGCGAGGTTACGCACTGTGTTTGACGCTACCGTGTTTCTTGCCTCCGACCAAAATATTTCCCAGCAGCAACGCGGACTTTTAATAACAATGACGTCAGCTGAAACTCGCCTATAGAGGACGACTGCCCTACTGCCATGAGTTAAACCATAGCTGGCTGACGTGCCTTTAAACTCTTAATATTTCAACTTTTCTTGTAAGTTTATGGGAAAAATTTATGTTTTTTGTTTGTTGGACCAGAGCACTGAGCTTCATACCAGAATTTCTAAATGGAACACTACTTTTTACCAGATCTTTGCTCTCTGCCGTGTCACTATCAGCATTAATATTTAATCAAACAGAGGACAAAATGTACAAATGAAAGGACAAAAACATATATACAGTCCGTGTTGTGCAGTGGGGCTCATGTGAAACAGTCCATACTGGCCTTGGCTCGCTCCAGCTCGTGGAGGAAGTTATAAAACTGAGGAAGTGTCAGCTCTGCAACACACAAAACAGGACACAGCTAAAAACAGACTTTTCATCACGTTTCACATTTGGGCAGTGTTGGGGAGTAACAGATTACATGTTCCGGAGTTTCGTAATCAGAGTACAAATTATGAGTAACTGTATTCAGTTACAGTTACTGTTTCAGTGAGTGGTAATTGGATTACAGTTACTTTGCTGAAATAAATTACACAGAGGTATTTTCCTGTTTTCACATTTTGGGCTATATCCCCCTTTTTTTTTTTTTTTTTTTTTCAGTAATTCTACTCATTGCTGGAAACTAAACCAGGTTTAAACCAGAACTAAAACCAGGACTAAAACCAGGACTAAAATCAGGACTAAAACCAGGACTAAAACCAGGACTAAAATCAGGACTAAAATCAGGACTAAAACCAGGACTAAAACCAGGTCTAAACTAGATCTAAACTAGATCTAAACTAGACCTAAACCAGGTCTAAACCAGGACTAAAACCAGGACTAAAACCAGGACTAAAATCAGGACTAAAACCAGGACTAAAATCAGGACTAAAATCTGGACTAAAACCAGGACTAAAACCAGGACTAAAATCAGGACTAAAACCAAGACTAAAAAGGACTAAAACCAGGACTAAAATCAGGACTAAAATCAGGACTAAAACCAGGACTAAAATCAGGACTAAAATCCAGGACTAAAATCAGGACTAAAACCAGGACTAAAATCAGGACTAAAATCAGGACTACTAAAAACCAGGACTAAACTAAAAGGACTAAAATCAGGACTAAAACAGACTAAAACCAGGACTAAAACCAAAATAGGACTAAAACCAGGACTAAAACCAGGACTAAAATCAGGACTAAAACCAGGACTAAAATCAGGACTAAAACCAGGACTAAAATCAGGACTAAAATCAGGACTAAAACCAGGACTAAAACCAGGTCTAAACTAGATCTAAACTAGATCTAAACTAGACCTAAACCAGGACTAAAACCAGGACTAAAATCAGGACTAAAACCAGGACTAAAACCAGGACTAAAATCAGGACTAAAATCAGGACTAAAACCAGGACTAAAACCAGGACTAAAACCAGGACTAAAATCAGGACTAAAATCAGGACTAAAACCAGGACTAAAATCAGGACTAAAATCAGGACTAAAACCAGGACTAAAACCAGGTCTAAACTAGATCTAAACTAGACCTAAACCAGGTCTAAACCAGGACTAAAACCAGGACTAAAATCAGGACTAAAACCAGGACTAAAATCAGGACTAAAACCAGGACTAAACTAGACCTAAACCAGGTCTAAACCAGGTCTAAAATAGGTCTTAAACCAGGACTAAACCAGGGCTAAAACAAGACTAAAGCCAGGACTAAAATAGGATTTAACAGGACTAAATCCTGCTGTGTGGATGTGTCGTGTAATATTTTTAATACGGTTCAGTAAAGTCTGGGCTTTTTATTTTCTTTTAGAAGACAAAACATCTTATACTGCAATATCCTCGTCTTTGCTTCTCTACAACAAATCAAATAATCCAAAGTATTCAGATTACATTACTCACTTTAAGTAATTTAATGAATTATGTTACAAACTACATTTTGGTGTATGTAATCTGTAATCTGTAGGGGATTACATTTTAAAAGTAACACTCCCAACACTGCATTTGGGATTTGTTTCATAGTAAGATTTTCATGACAGCTACAAATAAAAAAACAACACTTACTGACTGTTTGTATTTGAATAAAACTAAAAATATAAATAGTTTTCTCATTGGTGGAACTGAAATGGAGCAAAGGATCATGGTCCCTGTAGTCCTCTCTACTGTGAACCAAAGAACTTTAATCTTATAATAGATTCAGTAAGTTCTTAAAGACTCACTCTGAAACTTTTCTGGTGGGGGGGGTGGCTGTAAATGCTCTGGAATGTTCCACAGTGTGCATTAAACTGCTTATTTATCTCCATGGAGACAAGCAAATGATGTTTCTCTCCCTGGTCTAGCACCAAACTACATCTTTGACGTGGAACAGCCTCCTGCTTTAGCCCTGGTGTAGTCCTGGTTTAGTCCTGGTGTAGTCCTGGTTTAGTCCTGGTTTAGTCCTGGTTTAGTCCTGGTTTAGTCCTGGTTAGTCCTGGTTAGTCCTGGTTTAGTCCTGGTTTAGTCCTGGTTTAGTCCTGGTTAGTCCTGGTTTAGTCCTGGTTTAGTCCCTGGTTTAGTCCCTGGTTTAGTCCTGGTTTAGTCCCTGGTTTAGTCCCTGGTTTAGTCCCTGTTAGTCCTGGTTTAGTCCTGGTTTAGTCCTGGTTTAGTCCTGGTTTAGTCCTGGTTTTTCCTGGTTAGTCCTGGTTTAGTCCTGGTTAGTCCTGGTAGTCCTGGTTAGTCCTGGTGTAGTCCTGGTTTAGTCCTGGTTTAGTCCTGGTTTAGTCCCTGGTTTAGTCCCTGGTTAGTCCTGGTTTAGTCCCTGGTTAGTCCTGGTTTAGTCCTGGTTTAGTCCCTGGTTTAGTCAGTCCTGTTAGTCCTGGTTTAGTCCTGTTTAGTCTCGGTGTATTCTCTAGTTTAGTCCTGGTTTAGCCCATGATTTAGTCCCTGGTTAAATCCTGGTTTAGTCTCTGGTTTAGCCCTAGTTTAGTCACTAGTTTAGTCCTGGTCTAGTCCTTGTTTAGTTCTAATTTAGTCTCTGGTTTAGTCCTAGTTTAGTCCTGGTTTAGTCCTGGTTTAGTTCTAATTTAGTCTCTGGTTAGTCCTGGTTAGTCCTTGTTTAGTCTAATTTAGTCTCTGGTTTAGTCCTAGTTTAGTCCTGGTCTAGTCCTGGTTTAGTTCTAATTTAGTCTCTGGTTTAGTCCTGGTCTAGTCCTTGTTTAGTTCTAATTTAGTCTCTGGTTTAGTCCTGGTGTAGTCTCTGGTTTAGTCCTAGTTTAGTCCTGGTCTAGTCCTTGTTTAGTTCTAATTTAGTCTCTGGTTTAGTCCTGGTTTAGTCCTGGTTTAGTCCCTGGTTTAGTCCCTGGTTTAGTCCCTGGTTTAGTCCCTGGTTTAGTTCTGTCTTAGTCCTAATTTTGTCCTTGATTTAGTCACTGGTCTAGTCCTGATTTAGTCCCTGGTTCAGTCCTGGTTTAGTCCTGGTTTAGTCACTGATTTAGTCTCGGTGTATTCTCTAGTTTAGTCCTGGTTTAGCCCATGATTTAGTCCCTGGTTAAATCCTGGTTTAGTCTCTGGTTTAGCCCTAGTTTTAGTTTAGTCACCAGTTTAGTCCTGGTCTAGTCCTGGTTTAGTTCTAATTTAGTCTCTGGTTTAGTCCTGGTCTAGTCCTTGTTTAGTTCTAATTTAGTCTCTGGTTTAGTCCTGGTTTAGTCCTGGTCTAGTCCTTGGTTTAGTTCTAATTTAGTCTCTGGTTTAGTCCTGGTTTAGTTCTGGTTCAGTCCCTGATTTAGTCCCTGGTTAAATCCTGGTTTAGTCCTAATTTAGTCCTTGGTTTAGTCGTAGTTTAGTCCCTGCTGTAGTCCTGCCTTAGACCTGGTTTAGTCCAAGTCCAGTTTAACCCCGGTGTAGTTTTGGTTAAATCTTGGTTTAGTCCTACTTTAGTCACTGATTTAGTCTTGGTTTATTCCTGGTCTAGTCCTGGTTTAGTCCCGTCCTCCTGTTACCCAGAGTCAGATTTGATTTGGTTTTTTTTGTGTGTTTTTAATGTTTTTTCTTATTCCATAAAACTCTTTCTTCAGATACTTTGCATATGAATAGTTCTATAGAAATAAACGTCCGTTGTGGTTAATCCTAAAGCCGCACTGAGGAACATTCCATCACTTCAACAATACCAGTTCCCATCATTAACGTTAATTGTGCACATTTGCATATTACTCACCCATGTAGACGTTTTCTGTCGCGTTTCCTTTTCGAATCACCAACTTCAGCTGCAACAGAACGAGATTTGATGAAGAATAAATAAAAATATTAAACCACCTTTTTTTTTTGTGTGTGTGTGTGTTTGAGTTTTTGTTTTACCTGCAGAAAAATGTTCCCGACTTTGTGCATTTCACTCGTCCCAACCGTCACTGCGGAGAGAGGAGCCCGGTTAGACTTGTTATCGCGAGGGAACTTGCTTGGGCAGAACACCGTGCAGGTTTATACATCGACAATACGTCAAAAGAAAAATTACACGGTCGAGATTCATTTTGCAGCTTCACGCTTCTCAAAAACTAGAAAAAAAAGCTTTTAACTCTGCTCTAGGATGTCAAAAATCAACACTCTGATAGAAAAACTGACAAAAAAAGTACTGAAACTAGTTGTTAATTTGAAGTTTAATTATGGATATTGGAAGAAATTACATAAAAAGTACAAAACGGGTCAGTCTGTGGAACATTTGAATCGTTTTTCAAAATAAAACCAAAATTAAGAAAATGAAAAAAACAACAGTTTTCTACATTATTTGTCTCCAAAACCAAAATGAAAAAACAGATAACGATTTGTTTTTTCAGTTTTCATTTTGTGTTTAAATGAAAAATGAAAAAAAAAAAAAAAAACGAATAACGGCCATTTCCCATTTACGTGACTTAAACTGTGATGCCGGACTGAACCAGGACTGAACCAGGACTGAACCAGGACTAAACCAGGACTAAACCAGGACTAAACCAGGACTAAACCAGGACTAAACTGTTTTCAGTCCCGGTCTGGTCCCGTCCTTAGTCCCTGGTCTCAGTCCTGGACTCAGTCCCGGTCTGGTCCCGGCTTCAGTCCAGGTCTCAGTCCCCAGCTTCAGTCCCGGCCTCAGTCCGGTCTGGTCCCGGCTTCAGTCCCGGCTTCAGTCCCGGCCTCAGTACCCGGTCTGGTCCTGTGCTTAGTCCCGGTCTCAATCATGGTCTCAGTCCCAGTCTGGTCCCGGCTTCAGTCCAGGTCTCAGTCCCCAGCTTCAGTCCCGGCCTCAGTACCGGTCTGGTCCCTGCTTCAGTCCCGGCTTCAGTCCCGGCCTCAGTCCCGGTCTGGTCAAGTCCTTAGTCCCCGGTCTCAATCACGGTCTCAATCCCGGTCTGGTCCTGGCTTCAGTCCTGGCTTCAGTCCCGGTCTCAATCCCGGTCCTTTTCCTGGTCTTAGTCCTGGTCTCAGCCCCGGTCTGGTCAGGTCCTTAGTCCCCGATCTCAATCACGGTCTCAGTCCCGGCCTCAATCACGTCTCAATCCCGGTCAGTCCCGGCCTCAGTCCCGGCCTCAGTCCCGGCCTCAGTCCCGGTCCAGGTCCCGGCTCAGTCCGGTCCAGTCGGCTCAGTCCCGGCTCAGTCCGGTCTTCTTCAGTCCCGGCCTCAGTCAAGGCCTCAGTCCCGGTCTGGTCCTGTCCTTAATCCCCGGTCTCAATCATGGTCTCAGTCCCGGTCTGGTCCCGGCTTCAGTCCCAGTCCTTTTCCTGGTCTTAGTCCTGGTCTCAGTCCCGGTCTGGTTCCGGTCTGGTCCTGGACCTGGTTCAGTCCTCAGTCCTGGTTCCGGCATCACAGTTTAAGTCATGTAAACAGGAAAAGTCTGTTTTTTCCATTTTTCATTTAAACACAAATTCAAAAACTGAAACAACAAATCATTATCTGTTTTTCCATTTTGGTTTTGGAGACAAATAATGAAGAAAATTGTTGTTTTTTTCGCATTCTTATTTTTGGTTTTATATTGAAAAACGAAAGAGATTGAGAAGGCCAAGAGTTTGCGATGCCGTCGACAAAGCAAAGGGTGGAGACTTGGAAGATTTGAATACAAAAAAAATATAAAAATACTGATTTGATTAATTTCACTTTTTGTCTTTGCTACATAATTCCAAACATCATATATTTGAAATCTTCTGTATGTGTAGAAAACGTAGAAAGTAGTACATTTCCGGGCCCGTCAAACTCTTTTTTTTTCTCCCTGAAGACGTTATTGCTTTGTCTGGAATATTCCACAGTACGGCATTAAACCTTCCCATCTTCACGGAGACCAAACCAGACCAAGTTACAGGTCAGATCTGTGGAAAGGCGACGCCGCTCACAGTCAGAATGTCTTTTTTCTAGCTATTTTTGAGTTATAAAACCACCTGTAATTGAATAAATGTAAAGTTTAATGTTTAATGTCACACTGTGGAACATTCCCGGCAGCATGTGACGGACCACCCACCAGAAAAGTTACACAATGCACCTTTAAAGAAAAAAAACTAAAGCGCGAGAGGGCGTGTCCAAACTTTTGACTGCTAGTGTATAATAAGTGTATAATTTTTTCTTTGTTGTTTACAGGGGGAATTGTGTTTCTCCTAAATAATTGCAGTCTTTCAGTTGAGTTAATTACAATCTGAGGCTGCCAGGAGCAATAAAATATTTGACTGTTGCTCTGAGCAGAATATCAAATTTGTTTTAGTGTCAAATGGTGCATTAAGTCATTACCAAAACTCTTCATGAAAACAAACCGCCTCGACAACAAAGTTTCGTAGTCTGTTATAGGGCTGGGCGATATGGATCAAAAAATATATCTCAATATATTTTGCTATATCTCGATATACGATATATATCTCGATATATGTTCAAGAAAAAATAACCCCCTAAAACTGAAAACTGCAAAAACAAATCTGCCAAATTCCACAAGGTCTTTTTTTTTTTTTTATTGAAGTGTAAGAGGTCGGCAGTTCATATAGGAACATTTAAGATTACAAAAAACCTAATTACATAAATAATAATTTAACTGTAAAATAAAATAAATAATACATATTTCCTTCTTTTCATTCATAGATAAAACAAATCAAGACAAGTTCATCTTTGCATTAACTCTGTTATCCAAACCAGAACCAGAACCATGAGCTCCTTCAGCAGAAGAAACTCAGGATGTTCCTTATTTCAATAGATCCATGTTATTATCCAGCAGTGAGGAGCTCTGAGGTTTAATCCCACAATCCACTGCAGATCAAACCCAACGTTTCCAAACACTATTGTACAAGTGACACTGCAGCAGATTATTCATTAAAATCTTCTCCATAAATAAACTTTACATGACTAAACTTTACAATATATAAAGAACAACGACTCTAGAGCCACATCAGCCCTTTGAGATAAAAATGTGTTTAATGCAGTTTTGCGCACGTGTGTTTACATTTTACAGAAACCAAACTTAAGCACATGGCTCATTTGCATAAACAGCACTTCTCCTGCAGCTCAGCTCGTTTAGCTTCTTTCGGGCTAAAGGACGCGACTCGGTGGAACATGAGGATGAGCTGCTGATGGTTTTGTCTGTAAATGGTTGAAAAGGTTCGTGGTGCTTGAAGCTTTTCACTGGCACCAACTTTCGGCGACAGTGACGAGTGAAGGAGACACGAGCGAACAAAATCAGGGAGGCGGGGGCGACGAGAGAGAAGATAAACAAGCGAAGCGGCGAATTCTAAATTTAATATAAGCATTATATCGATATATACGATATGTCAGAATTCATATCGAGTTTAAAAACTATCTCGATATATTTAAAATATCGATATATCGCCCACCCCTAGTCTGTTATTATCATCACCACCGGCTTTTACCGTCGCTTTTACGTCCCGTGGTGCTACATCAAAAATTAAAGTCAGTAAATATGGCTTAATACAATTTGGTAATAAAGTAAAGACTGACTTCCAAAATACTGTAAACTGAGGACAGCTCCACAACACGTGTGAGTCTGAACCAGGTCCTTTGAGAAAATTGGCTGCATGTGTCATCAGTATTATCATGTATTTGAGCCTGTCTTTGACCAGTTGTCAGAATAATTTTATTATCCCATATTTGCTAAATACTTGTGTGATATTCTAGGCCTATGAGTTAACCATTTATGTACTACAATTCTTTGATTTATAATGTACCAATCACTTGTCACTTGTTGAATAACCTCTGTGTGTTTGACAACTGTGTGCAGTGTCCTATCGCTCTAGTGAACCTCGAGATGATTCCTCACATGAAGCCAACTCCCACTGTCACACATGAAGAGTTATGATGGTGTCTGACCTAAGGCACCTCCTGATTGTTAATCATGTTTTATGTGTTTGTACTATGCTTAGCTGCACCAGTTTCTTATTATGTCTTTGCTGTTTCCCCTTCCCCTTGAGAATTATCATTCTGTAACTAGGGCCTCCTAATGAAATAAAAAGAGGAGAACGGCCTTGAGTCATCAGAACGTGTGGAGACTGTTGGTTTTGATGCCCACTCTCTGCCCGTTCTCCTCGCGAGTAAAACTGAATTAATCTCTTGTCTTTCTTCTTGTTTTTAATGTTTAGATAAACCTAACACCAGTGCAAGTGGTGAAACCATTTTTAAATAAATGATGATAAAAGATAAATTGTAGTGCGAGTACATGAACTGGTATCAGGTGATATTGGGTATTGGTCACAGTATCGAATCTGGTATCAGGCAGAACAGAAAAAGCTGTTATTTTGAGGTTAACAGATATGAAAACCTTGGACCTAACTTCTACATAAGCCTCACTTCCACAGGGCCGGCACGGGACGGAACTGCCTGGACCCTGTGAATTTCCACTGCGTAAAGCGCTTGGTACCAAAGCGGACTAAACCAGGACTAAACCAGGACTAAACCAGGACTAAACTGTTTTCAGTCCCGGTCTGGTCCCGTCCTTAGTCCCTGGTCTCAGTCCTGGACTCAGTCCCGGCCTGGTCCCGGCTTCAGTCCAGGCTTCAGTCAAGGCCTCAGTCCCGGTCTGGTCCTGTGCTTAGTCCCCGGTCTCAGTCATGATCTCAGTCCCAGTCTGGTCCCAGCTTCAGTCCGGGTCTCAGTCCAGGCCTCAGTCCCGGCCTCAGTCCCGGTCTGGTCCCGGCTTCAGTCCTGGCTTCAGTCCAGGCCTCAGTCCCGGTCTGGTCAAGTCCTTAGTCCCCGGTCTCAGTCCCGGTCTCAGTCCCGGTCTCAGTCCCGGCCTCAGTCCCGGTCTGGTCAAGTCCTTAGTCCCCGGTCTCAGTCACGGCCTCAATCCCGGTCTGGTCCTGGCTTCAGTCCTGGCTTCAGTCCCGGTCTCAATCCCGGTCTCAATCCCGGTCTCAATCCCGGTCTAGTCCCGGCTTCAGTCGCGGCCTCAGTCGCGGCCTCAGTCCCGGCCTCAGTCCCGGCCTCACTTCCACAGGGCCGGCACGGGACGGAACTGCCTGGACCCTGTGAATTTCCACTGCGTAAAGCGCTTGGTACCAAAGCGGACTAACAAACGAACAGCTGGGAGAGAGGCACGGGGGGCGGTGCTAGTCTCACTTCTGTGCAGTGATTGGAGGACCAGCAGCAGGCCCATAGCGACGCACGTGTGACAACATGGAAACAGTGCGAACCATGTAACTCTTGTTTAACAACGGTGCAGATGCATTTACCGGTAAAACAGAAGAAATTCAAAGAGTGTGTGTAATAATAAATCCACATCAGTCATCACGGTCTCAATCCCGGTCTAGTCCCGGCTTCAGTCCCGGCCTCAGTCCCGGCCTCAGTCCCAGTCCCGGCCTCAGTCCCGGCCTCAGTCCCGGCCTCAGTCCTCAGTCCCGGTCAGTCCCGTCAGTCAGTCCCCGGTCTCAATCATGGTCTCAGTCCCGGTCTTGGTCCCGGCTTCAGTCCCAGTCCTTTTCCTGGTCTTAGTCCTGGTCTCAGTCCCGGTCTGGTTCCGGTCTGGTCCTGGACCTGGTTCAGTCCTCAGTCCTGGTTCCGGCATCACAGTTTAAGTCATGTAAACAGGAAAAGTCTGTTTTTTCCATTTTTCATTTAAACACAAATTCAAAAACTGAAACAACAAATCATTATCTGTTTTTCCATTTTGGTTTTGGAGACAAATAATGAAGAAAATTGTTGTTTTTTTTCGCATTCTTATTTTTGGTTTTATATTGAAAAACGAAAGAGATTGAGAAGGCCAAGAGTTTGCGATGCCGTCGACAAAGCAAAGGGTGGAGACTTGGAAGATTTGAACACAAAAAAATATAAAAATACTGATTTGATTTATTTCACTTTTTGTCTTTGCTACATAATTCCAAACATCATATATTTGAAATCTTCTGTATGTGTAGAAAATAATAAATCCACATCAGTCACAGTCTGTAGTGTCAGCGTAAAGTGGAAGCCAAACTTTGCCACCATCCTCCTCCTCAATCCCCGTAAGAGAGTAAATCCCAAATGTGGTGTAAGATGTATGTTCAGTGTGGAGTGTGTGACCGCAAAGTTCCTCTATCCAGGTAACGAGGTAATAAAAGACTAAAGTTGTTTCTCAAAACCACAGCGTGTGCTCTGTGGGGATGTCTTTGGGTCTACTGAGAAAACAAACGTGAAACTTTGTGTCGTGAAAGCTTGTGTCCGTCTACGTGAAGAGCAGCTGTGTGTTCTGGTTCATTTGCGGTGCATTTGTTTGGCGTTATATTTCATCATCATCATCATCACCTTTATTCCGAACTCATGGTCCATTTAAAAAACAGACAAGGACAGTGACAATACAAAACAATAAACATTCATATTTTTAAAAGACAGTCACACCAGTGTCTCCGCATGTTGGACTGATACCTTATTGCACTGAATCTCAGATTTGTGAGTGACATTATTATTTCATTGTCTGATTTGTTCAGTCTGCAGATAAAACTGTACATTAAAATTCTTAGTGCAGCTTGCAAAGTGTTCACTCGAGCAGTAACAAACATTTCAGTCGCACTTGTCCATCGTGGCTCCTCAAAAGTACCCGTAAAGCGTCACTGTAGACCTTTAACTTCTTAGGTTCTTTTTAAAGACAATGCAGTAAAGTGTGTTTACCTTGTTGACATGTTTCGGCTGCTGCTGTGAGCCATCTTCAGAACTGTCACCGGTGTTGGTGGTGACGTGTCGTATATCAGCTGTTGTTACTTCCTGTAGGCGTGGTCAGACCTGATGGACCTGCAGGTCGCTCAGACTGACCACGCCTCCCGTCGCCCGGTGTCTCTGGAGGAGGGTGTCCCAGGTGTGTGAAAGGAGGAACGCTCCGTCATCACGGTTAACGCTGTCCGTGCCTCGTTTTCCTGATTTCACCGTCCTCCTTGATCCAGCGTTTGAACTTGTTGTTTTCCGATCCAATGACCCGAGCCCCGTCCCGATCCATAATGTGGTTGTTCCTTTTACAGTGTCTGATATGGCGGATTTTAGGTTTTCCTGTTCTGCTTTGTCTTTTTGTGTTCTGGTGAGTCTCCCTGACGTTTCCTTCTCGCATTCCTTTTGGTGTTCCTTTTTTCGGATGTGAAATGCCCGGCCTGTTTCCCCTATGTATGATTTATTGCATGATTTGCATTGGATTTCGTAGATGGCATTGCATTTTTGTTCTTGTGGGATTTTGTCCTTGGGATGTACGAGTAGTTGGCGGAGTTTTGTGTCTGGTTTTACTACAGTGATTATGTTGTGTTTTTTCATGGCTCTGGATGGGTTCGGTTGTTCCTCTGATGTTTGGTAGTGTGACTATGTTCTTGTCCTGCTGCCCTGTGTTGCATTGTTGTGTTTTTTTCCGGGGTTTGTTGGTTTTATTGATAACTTGTTGTCTGCCTTTGTTTATGGCCCAGCTGGGATACTGACATTGTTTGAGTGCTTGTATGATGTGTCTCTCCTCTTCCTCCCTATATAAGAAGACAAAATGAACATCATTGGGGTCACTGTAGACCACCTGCAGTCTTTGCAAACTGGATTTTTTATAATTAGTCCAGAGGTGAGCTGTGTACAACGGTGTACAATAAGATCTAAACAATAACAACTTTACGTCATTTGTACAAGAACCAAACTTACGCATAAGAGTATTTGCCTGAGCATAGAGCACAGGTGTCAAACATAAGGCCCGGGGGCCAGATCCGGCCCTCCAAGACCTTCAATGTGGCCCTTGGCTGATTTTCTACTTAAATATTTGAATTTATTTTCTATTAAAATATTGGTAATTTTCTGCGTCACTTAGCATAGCAGCATCTCCAGCGTCTCTGTACGTGGCCCTCCAGACCAGCAGCACAAATGAAAGACTTGTCCTTTTTCCAAACGCTCTAAAGGACGATCGTTTTGACTGTTGACCGTGACACCCTCATCAGAAAATTTCCAACATGAGAAAAGTGGAGCCGAGTGCCGGATTTTCCAAGAAAAATTGACTTATTCCTGTTTGCATACAAAATAATGTTAAAACATTGTGTTGAAATTGTATTTTCTTAAAGTTTCAGGTTGTTCATAATATTATAATTTTGTAAAAGAAAGAGTTCATCCATTAAAAAGATTTCTGTAATAGATTTGTGTTTCTCTGCACAAATATTTGAACTTATTGTTATTTTGGGGTTTATATGACATGAGTTTTCTGATCCGGCCTTTGGATCAAAGTCGGTTGGATACGACCCCCGACCAAAGAGTTTGACACTTGGCATAGAGCATCTTACACTGTGTACATATCATCATCATCTGTCATGTCCGCAGTGATGATATGCCCCAGATATTTAATATTTGAACATCGATCAGTGTTGATGCTCCTTTAGTTTAGCTCCAGTCTTTTCACAGCCGTTTTTCTAGACCTGTGTAATGCCCAAAGCGGCCTGGGTCCATTGTAATGGAAACACTCCCCAAGGCGGTGGGGACTCCCTCCAAACTGTTCCACGCCAAGGCGGCCCCAACGCGCGCCAGTGGAAATGAGGCTATTCTGTTAGAATCCAGAAGGGACCAGATCAGAGAGTGTGAAAAACTTGAGGTGATCCAACCACAGCTGCTCATTTAGATCACGTGTCGCTCAAATGTGGAAGTGTCTCCTCTTGAAAATTCTCTTATCATCCAAAAATCCACGAAATACATAACTTTTCTGACTGAGATAAATAATAGTTTAGTGCTTCAAATGTTGATTCTGAGAAAATTCGCTCTGTTTCTCAGTCTTTTATGTTGTTTTTTCTCCTTTTTTATGTGTTGGCAGATTGTGAAGACCACTGCTACAGAATCCATGGTTTTATCCACAGATTGGATACATAAATACACTTTTTTACACAGTCTTTTATCACAAGCCCAGTGTCGGCAACTACACTGGAAGTCATCATTCGCATGTTTCCAAATGTGTTCCGGTAAGCGTGAATAGAAGTTATTGTTGTTTAAATTAGTGTTTTTGTTTGCTTTTACATTGTGTTCATTTTATTGGAAAACACTTTGGTCACCTTGTGTGTTGTAAACGGCTCTGTGCAGTAAATAAAGATTTATTGATTTGTTTACCTCCAAACTTCCACTCCATGTCCACGAGCTGGTTCACCATCAGAGTCTGTCTCACTGCCAGTCTGGACAGAGCAGCCGAGTGCTCCCCCCACTGACAGGGACAAGAAATGATCAGAAAATACTTTAATACATTCTTAATATGTGTAATTAATCATGTTTTAAATAATAAAACTAAAACTGACCTGTTGTGAAAACTGAACAGCCTTTTCTTCATTTAAACCTGAAATTACAGAAGATTTGGATCATTTCAGACCTCTGATTTCCCATCTCTACTAAACAAAAGGTAAACGGAGACGTTAACTTGAAAACTACTGTAGTGCATAATGACATCATAAGGTGGAACAGAGCATTTGGGGACGGGAGACACAGGACTCAAAACTGGGACTGTCCCGGGTAAATAGAGACGTCCGGTCTCCCTAAATTAGACGTGTATGAAACATAAACCTAGAGCTGGGTATCATTAAGAAGTTGCCAATACGATACATACCTCAATACACAGGCCATGATACGATACATATCTCGATACAGTGCACTTTCAATTCGATATGATATATTTCAAATCGATTCGATACGATTCAATAAAAAATAAAGGCTAAATCATGGCTGTGATACTAAAAGTCTTTGTTAAACCACTTCTTGTGCAAAATTCATATGAAACACAAACATTTTAATCGTCAAAACAGTAAAAATGTCAAATGTGTCGCATAAATGAGTTTCCTTTCACTCCACAAGCAACAAAACTGCGGCTCTGTAACAAAATAATTTAGTAAAACACACCTAAAAATACTCTTGGTGATATATCGATACAGCAGCCCACGATATCGATACTGTATCATCACATTAAACGATATGATATATCGATATTCCGATATTTTTGCACACCCCTACATAAACCATGATCTATTATTTAGTAGTGCACAAAGTTAGGCTTCAAAATTAGACATTTCCAGTAGTTATTAGCGCAAAATGTATAATTCAGAAATCCTTTGGCGAGCTATTTTGAAGAGTTTGGAGACCCCTGAGTTAAGAGCCGCGTTTTTGCGGCGCGTCCAAGGCGTCAGCGTCAAGAAGCTGAAAATGCTGAAGTTGCCGCGTCAACCAATCAGGGACGAGTATTCAGTGACGCAGCGACGTCATTATCAGGAAGAAAAACCCGAGAACCAGAACGAGAACCACAAACATGAAAGGAGAATAAATATATACACCACAATCACCGAGACGATCGCGAGGACTAAACCAGGACCAGGACTAAACCAGGACTACACCAGGACTACACCAGGACTACACCAGGACTACACCAGGACTACACCAGGACCAGGACCAGGACTAACCAGGACTAAACCAGGACTAACAGGACCAGGACTAGGACAGGACTACACCAGGACCAGGACCAGGACTAAACCAGGACTAAACCAGGACTACAGGACTAGACTAGGACCAGGACTAAACAAGGACTAGACCAGGACCAGGACTACAGACCAGGACCAGACGGACTAAACCAGGACTAGACCAGGACTAAACCAGGACTAGACCAGGACTAAACCAGGACTAGACCAGGACTAGACCAGGACTAAACAAGGACTAGACCAGGACCAGACCGAGACTGGGACTAAACCAGGACTAGACCGGGACTAAACCAGGACTAGACCAGAACTAGACCAGAACTAAACAAGGACTAGACCGAGACTAGACCGAGACCCGGACTAAACCAGGACTAGACCGGGACTAAACCACGACTAGACCAGAACTAGACCAGGACTAAACAAGGACTAGACCGAGACTAGACCGAGACCCGGACTAAACCAGGACTAGACTGGGACTAAACCACGACTAGACCAGAACTAGACCAGGACTAAACAAGGACTAGACCGAGACTAACCAGGACTAACCAGGACTAGGACTAAACGGGACTAAACAGGACTAGACCAGGACTAGACCAGGACTAAACAAGGACTAGACCGAGACTAAACCAGGACTAGACCGGGACTAGACCAGGACTAGACCGGGACTAGACCGAGACGAGACCGAGACCGGGACTAAACCAGGACTACACCGGGACTAAACCAGGACTAGATCAGAACTCGACCAGAACTAAACAAGGACTAGACCGAGACTAGACCGAGACCCGGTCTAAACCAGGACTAGACCGGGACTAAACCAGGACGAGACCGGGACTAAACCAGGACTAGACCAGAACTAGACCAGGACTAAACAAGGACTAGACCGAGACTAGACCGAGACCGGGACTAAACCAGGACTAGACCGGGACTAAACCAGGACTAGACTGGGACTAAACCAGGACTAGACCAGAACTCAACCAGAACTAAACAAGGACTAGACCAAGACTAGACCGAGACCTGGACTAAACCAGGACTAGACCGGGACTAAACCAGGACTAGACCAGGACTAGACCGGGACTAGAAGACCGGGACTAACCTGTATTAGACCAGGACTAGACCCGTAATAGACCGAGACTGGGACTAGACCGGGACCAGACCGGGACTAGACTAGATTAGCGGAGTATAAATATAAACACGCCCCAGTCGTCGACCCGATCTCCTCCGCTGATGTTTTATGTTATAAAAAACACTAAAGTCTCTCTCAGTCTGGTCTGACATTGTTTCGGGAAAAGAGAGGGACCGGGCTCTTGTTTCCAGGGCAACGGACGCGCGTCAAGTATTTTTCTCCCGTTCGTCCACGGCGTCAAACACGCGCGTCGGGGGCGTCTAAACTCAAATGCAAAAGGCGTCCAAATAGAGGCGTCAAGGCGTTTTTTGACGCTTTGGTGTGAACGGCCTTTTACTCAAACATGTATGAATGAAACAAACACAACTCCAGGTCTGTTTTTGAGGAGGTAATAACATTATAACACATGACACAAGAGTCAGATTTGAATAATATAGGCTGTTTAAACCTTTTTGAACTAGTTTCATAAAAGGAAATGCTCACCTAAAGTTACCAGGTCTTCTCGGATCTGTTCAGCTGACAGGTTCCTCTTCATTGCCCCTGGAGGAGACATGAGATACACTTCATACATTGCATTTTTTAATTTTTAAACTAAATAAAAGTGTCAATGACTGCGTTTTTACTTAGTTATAGCTCAATGTTGCTCAAAGAAATTAAAGAACTGGTGAAAGGACATCAGTCTTTTTGGACCCAGGATGCAGTCGTAGCTTTTGTTGGATGTGCATGTGTCTATCTACCAGCTAGAACTGCACCACCAGACTGTGGGCCAGTGGATCTGTCTGCTCAACCAGTGATGTCTTTTTTCCAGAAAGCAGAATTCGAAACACCAGCCTACAGATGAGTGGACAAACGCTCTATAAACTGAGCTCCTGTAGCTGTACCTTGTGGCACCAGGAGCACGCTCTTCATGAGGTTCTTGAGGGGCCCGGCGCTCATCCCGTGTTCTCCTGCGAACTCGGTCAACTGCTGCATGAACCGCTCTGTCTGCACACACAAAAACAAAAAAAACATACACAAGGGAACAGGGAGATATGCAAGAATTCTTTTGAACACAGAAACAGAGACCCAGACCGTGTTTAGTCTCGCTTCAGTTCTCAAGGACGATCTCAGACTCAAGAGACACAGACAGACACAGACTCACACAAACTCACACGGACTCATACAAACTCACAGAGAAACACAGAGACTCACGGAGACTCACGGAGACACAGGGAGACACACAGAGACACGCAGAGACTCACGGAGACTCACGGAGACTCACGGAGACTCACGGAGACACAGGGAGACACACAGAGACACACGGAGACACACGGAGACACACGGAGACACACGGAGACACACGGAGACTCACGGAGACTCACGGAGACACGGGAGACACGGAGACACACGGAGACTCACGGAGACTCACGGAGACACCGGGAGACACACAGAGACACACGGAGACTCACGGAGACACACGGAGACACACGGAGACACACGGAGACACACGGAGACTCACGGAGACACACGGAGACACACGGAGACTCGTGGAGACACAGGAAGACACAGGGAGACACACGGAGACTCACGGAGACACACGGAGACTCACAGAGACACACGGAGACTCACGGAGACACACGGAGACACACGGAGACTCGCGGAGACACGCGGAGACACGCGGAGACACACGGAGACACACGGAGACTCACGGAGACACGGAGACGAGACACGCGGAGACACGCGGAGACACGCGGAGACACGGAGACTCGTGGAGACGGGACACACGGGAGACACATGGAGACACATGGACACATGGAGACACACGGAGACACGCGAGACACGCGGAGACACACGGAGACTCACAGAGACACATGGAGACACACGGAGACACACGGAGACACACGGAGACACACGGAGACACACGGAGACTCACGGAGACTCGTGGAGACTCGTGGAGACACACAGAGACACGCGGAGACACACGGAGACTCACGGAGACACACAGAGACACACAGAGACACGCGGAGACACACGGAGAACACGGAGATCACGAGACACACGACACACGGAGACTCGTGGAGACACAGGGAGACACACGGAGACACACAGAGACACACAGAGACACGCGGAGACACAACACGGAGACACACGGAGACACACGGAGACTCACGGAGACACACGGAGACACACGGAGACACACGGAGACACACGGAGACTCGTGGAGACACAGGGAGACACACGGAGACACACGGAGACACACAGAGACACACAGAGACACGCGGAGACACACGGAGACTCGTGGAGACACAGGGAGACACACGGAGACGAGACACACAGAGACACGAGAGACACACGGAGACGGAGACACACGGAGACTCACGGAGACACGCGGAGACACGCGGAGACACACGGAGACTCACGGAGACACACGGAGACTCACGGAGACACACGGAGACACACGGAGACACACGGAGACTCGTGGAGACACAGGGAGACACACGGAGACACACGGAGACACACAGAGACACACGGAGACACGCGGAGACACACGGAGACTCACGGAGACACACGGAGACACACGGAGACACACAGAGACACACAGAGACACGCGGAGACACACGGAGACACGCGGAGACACACGGAGACTCACGGAGACTCACGGAGACACACGGAGACACACGGAGACTCGTGGAGACACACAGGGAGACACAGGGAGACACACGGAGACACAGGGAGACTCGCGGAGACACGCGGAGACACGCGGAGACACGCGGAGACTCACGGAGACACACGGAGACTCACGGAGACACACGGAGACACACGGAGACTCGTGGAGACACAGGGAGACACAGGGAGACACACGGAGACTCGCGGAGACACGCGGAGACACACGGAGACTCACGGAGACACACGGAGACACACGGAGACACACGGAGACACACGGAGACTCGTGGAGACACAGGGAGACACAGGGAGACACACGGAGACTCGCGGAGACACGCGGAGACACGCGGAGACACGCAGAGACACGCAGAGACACGCGGAGACACGCGGAGACACACGGAGACTCACGGAGACACACGGAGACACACGGAGACTCGTGGAGACACAGGAGACACACGGAGACACACGGAGACACACGGAGACACACGGAGACACGCGGAGACACGCGGAGACACGTGGAGACACACAGAGACACACAGAGACTCACAGAGACTCACAGAGACACACGGAGACACACGGAGACTCGTGGAGACTCACGGAGACACACGGAGACACACGGAGACACGCGGAGACACACGGAGACTCACGGAGACACGCGGACACACACGGAGACACACGGAGACTCACGGAGACACAGGGAGACACACAGAGACACGCAGAGACACACGGAGACTCACGGAGACACACGGAGACTCACGGAGACACAGGGAGACACGTGGAGACACACAGAGACTCACAGAGACACACGGAGACTCACGGAGACTCACGGAGACACGCAGAGACACACGGAGACTCACGGAGACACACGGAGACACGCGGAGACACACGGAGACACGTGGAGACACACAGAGACTCACAGAGACACACGGAGACTCACGGAGACACACGGAGACACACGGAGACTCACGGAGACTCACGGAGACACGCGGAGACACGCGGAGACACACAGAGACACACAGAGACACACAGAGACACACGGAGACACACGGAGACACACGGAGACTCACGGAGACACACGGAGACACACGGAGACTCGTGGAGACACAGGGAGACACAGGGAGACACACGGAGACTCGCGGAGACACGCGGAGACACGCGGAGACACACAGAGACACACGCGGAGACACGCGGAGACACACGGAGACACACGGAGACACACGGAGACTCGTGGAGACACAGGGAGACACATGGAGACACACGGAGACTCACGGAGACACGCGGAGACACGCGGAGACACGCGGAGACACGCGGAGACACACAGAGACACACAGAGACTCACAGAGACACACAGAGACTCACAGAGACACACGGAGACACACGGATACTCACGGAGACTCGTGGAGACACACGGAGACACACGGAGACTCGTGGAGACTCACGGAGACACAGGGAGACACACAGAGACACGCGGAGACACACGGAGACTCACGGAGACACGCGGAGACACACGGAGACTCACGGAGACACAGGGAGACACACAGAGACACGCAGAGACACACGGAGACTCACGGAGACACACGGAGACACGTGGAGACACACAGAGACTCACAGAGACACACGGAGACTCACGGAGACACACGGAGACACACGGAGACTCACGGAGACACACGGAGACACACGGAGACACACGGAGACTCACGGAGACACACGGAGACTCACGGAGACACACGGAGACACACGGAGACTCGTGGAGACTCGTGGACACTCACGGAGACACAGGGAGACACACAGAGACACGCAGAGACACACGGAGACTCACGGAGACTCACGGAAACTCACGGAGACACAGGGAGACACGTGGAGACACACAGAGACTCACAGAGACACACAGAGACTCACCTCTTTGGGCTCCAGGAGAAACTGGAACAGAATCTCAATCAGACGCATGAATTGCTGCAAGACAAAAACAATAAAAAATACACTCACTTTTATCCTCTGTCTTTTAACACCACGAGAGTTATGTGGTCCTCTGCGTCTCGTATTTATCGTTTTTATTATCTATTCTATTCTTTTTAGTACTGCTTTTATTTATTGACTGTATTATTTTTATTCACTGATTCTATTATTCCTTTTTTCGGAACATAATGCTGCTGTTTTTTAGAGTTAAATGTTTTATAAAGCTGTGTAAAGCACTTGGTAAACTGTGTCGTTTATAAAATGTGCAAAACCAATTAAGTGGGATTGGAAGTTTGCTTTAAATTGCTAATTGCTATGGAACCAGTCATACTAATTTTTCATCAATGTCAACCCATGGATAGGCAGTTTGTTGGTATTGATATCAGGACTGAAAAGGATCCTAATGTTCATTCACATTTTTGCAAATTTAATTATAGGGTGAACAGAATTTCAAAATTAAAAAAAACTGGGACATCCCTGTTTTTTTTTTTTGGTGGTTGGTAATAATAAAATTGTGAAACGAGTGCGTAATTAAGGAAAATTGTTCTGTAGACAACATTCACGACGAACATGTGTCAGTATTGTCAGATTTTCTTGTTTAATCAGCTTTTCTGTATTTTACCTAAATAAATTGGTCAAAAATAAGGACACCTGGGATATTTCTTGTATAAAACTGGGACAAATAAATAGTTTTGCATAAATCTGCTGGGACAGGGGACATAGAGCTCAAAACTGGGACATCTGGTCACCTTAACTCAGACTCGGGCCTGGGGGTCAAATTTGGCATGCAATATAATTATATTTGGCCCAAGGGCTCATATAAAATGTGTAATAGAGCTGTACTACTACTACTACTACTACTACTACTACTACTACTACTACTACTACTACTACTACTACTACCACTACGATGAAACTTGTATCTAAGTAGAAATGCCAAGTATATGTTTCTGCCATCATGTGCCTCAGAGTAAATCACAGTCTACAAACTAACCTCAGATGAATGTTTTCTTTAAGATTTTTGACTGTTCATAGTCTGAAGTGACTATTTGTCAAATAAAAGTAACAAACAAAAGCGTGGGCAAACTCAGAACTAAACATAACTCAAATAATCACCTTTGGGCACCATGGGTATGTGGTTTACGCAGCACAAATCAATGTCCATGACAAAAGATGATTTTCCAAGGTTTATTTTCCAGTTTGGGCAAACAACAAGGAAAACATGTTTGAGGCGACTCCTGCTGCCTCTCCTCGTGACTGGTAAAAAACCATAGGCCCACCCAGGTCACTCTGGTCTACGTGTACCACCCTCTTTTATCCCCTAGGTGACCCGAATTAAACCAAAAACAAAAAGGAGGTGCTAACGTAAATAATACCAATTTAAACTAAGAAATTAGCAAGAATAATATTAACATAGCAAAAATATATTATACAAATTAACAAAACTAAATTAGTAAGCTAACTAACAAACAAAAATAATAAACAAATTTTAGAATCAACAGAATAAGCAAATAGCTCCTACATAGTCGAAAGATTAGATTTTCATTTAAGTGAGTTGTTATTTTTGACTGGTTGCTGGCTTGTGAAAAAAACATTTAATGGGAGTTCAAAAGCTACAGATAGAATACAGAAACATTATTTATTTAAAATGTTGTTATTATTTTATATTCTGCTTGTTCTGGATTCAATGTTCACGCAAAACTATTATTAAACATTTATTTTAATAAGGAAAAGGTTTGACATTACAGATCTCGAAAGAAGAGAAAACATGCAGAAGTTGTTGACATTTTTCAATAAATATTTGGTTTAGCCCACGACTTAGGCCCAGTTTTTCTTTTTTTTTTTTTTTTAGTTTGACACCCTGTTTTAGCTACTCTGCAGTCACTACTCCTCCTGTCACATGACTCTGATCACCAGGGAAAAGTTCCACAATAAAACACTAAATGCAAAAACAGAAGCGTTTAACCAACACGTATGGCTTTATTAACTTATTTCTCTAAACATTACAATCTACATACTTATTTTAAAACCGACTGTTGTGTTTATACAATCACAGAAAGCAAAAACACAAAACAACACCACCTTTTAGCTCGTTATAACCTAATAAAGTCTGCTCCGTGTCGTATTTTTACCTGCTCGTTGAGTTTGTTGAGAGTCTGGAAGTCGCTGCTGACACTGTCCGGTAAAACATCTTTAGTAAAATGAAGTTGCATGGTTTTATTTGAAAGTTTGACACAAAAATGTCCAGAAAATCTGCAGCTGCTCTTCGCCTCCTCTGCAGACTGATTCCGGGTGCGTCAGTGCGCATGCGTGCCGGCTCTGTCACGCTGCCATCGCGCCCCCTGCAGGTCACCGCCGGCAGCGCACGGGGAAAAAAAGAAAAGGACTGAATCAAAAATGTTTGATAAATAATAAGATGAGAGATGTCTCCTTTAAACTTATGCACAAAATTTACCCTACTAATAAATTTATGCTAAAATATATTAAAACAACTGTACTTAACTGCACTTTTTGTAAAGACGTAAAAGTTAAAAATTTATCAAAGATCATATTGACGTGAACTTTTAATTAAAATGCAAACATATTATTTTTGGTGTACATGAAAAGAATTTAGACTCAAAAAATAAATATAATAATCATAATAATCATAATAATCATAATCATAATCATAATAAATTAATTATTATAGTTAGCTAATTTTATGTTCACAAATGTAAATTCTCTTATACCTCTTTGTTTTGTTTTTTTTCCTGTTTTAATTAATCTATTAGAATTTTATCTATCCAGCCATATTGATACATGAAAGTTGTATATCCATGAATATCTTTGTACAATGTAGCAGTAGCAATGTTTAAGTTTTGTTTTTATTTCTTTCATGTACACCGTATTTGTCATGTCCTGTGTTCTGCATATTGTCAATTGTCATATTAATAATAATATTTTTTAAAAAAAGAGTGCACAATTGGCACAGTTTGAATTCAAGATTCATGTGGTTCTTCAGCTGCACTAAGGCCGATCAGCAGACACTCCAGCGGGGGGCGTCTCTTCCAGAGATCAGCACCATCTACACCAGCGGTTTTCAATACGTGAGGCCTGCTTCCCCTGGGGGGCGCCAAAGAGTCACTGGGGAGGGGCGACACACATGGACCAAACCAGGACTGATACCAGGACTGAACCAAGAGGACTAAACCAGGGGCCTCATTTATAAATCTTGCTTACGCAAAAATCCGTGCGTGCGCGCTTCCTACGCCAACCGCGGTATTTATAAAACTCGCCGAAGGCATGGCTCTTTGCTTAACTCTACGCCAACTCGGGAACCTCCTGTAAGTTCTACGCAAAGTCTGGAGACACGGGGAAAAAGCGACACTCGTGGAGAGAGGCAGAAGTGAACAGAGTTTGAGGAAGTGTTTGATCAGAAAATCCACGTATATAGAAGAATTACCTTCTGATTTGCGCATTTAAGTGTTTGGTTCGCCAAAATACGGAGAAGGGCTGTTTATTTCACTCATTATTCTCCACAATATTATACATTTGACACTCCTGCACGAGCGCGGCCACGTTCCCGGACTCGGTGTAGCGCAGAGTCCCACAGTCCACACCGCGACCATAGACTTCTATAGAACACAGTCTGTGACCGACACAGAGGACGAAATAATGACCCGACCTGAGAGAAAACTCTTCCCTTGGACGCAGCAGGAGCCAGACTTTATTTAATGAACGCAACTTTAACACTTTTACTTTAGTCTTTACGCACCGAGCGCCAGAGTGACCCGAGTCTGCGGACAACACCAAGCCTACTGCCCGAACCTGACCCCAACCAAAATCTTCCCTACATTTTTGTGTAATGGGAAACTCTTGTACATGAGAGCTGCTCTCTGACTGTATGAAGAACAGAATAATGCCCGTGCCCGTCCCGACCCAGACCCACACTCACAGACCCACACTCACAGACCCACACTCACAGACCCAGACCCACACTCACAGACCCAGACCCACACTCACAGGTTCAGCAGTTTGGATGTTTCGTGTGGACTTTAATTGGCAAAATAACATCTGCATCTGATGTGTTTCGTGCTAAATCTGTGTCCTCGTGTCCTCGTATCCCTCCCTCGCTCCTTTCCCTCTCCAGGGGAGGGCATCTGAATCTCTCGTACGCGCTCATAATTTGACCATTCAGATCAGCGCGTGCACGTATCTACGTGTATATGCATAAATACACAGGGCCAGTCCTCACACACTTCATAGACAGACTTAAAAATATAGTGATAAAACTCTTGAAACAGCGAAAAAACACATGGGCTTTACTGCAAAGATGTTCTGCCTAAATATTATAAAATATGATTAAATGAACAGATGAGTCATTGTTGTCACTTTTAGTTTTGTATTTATTTATTAAACAAGGTTTAATAAAGTCTTTAATAAAGTCTTTGTGGTGATCACGTGGGGCTGCGTGGAGCGTCCTCCTCCCTCTGTCCCGCGTGTCTCGGTCAAACCCACTGATTATCGGCTCATGTTTAGGGAAATCTCATTCACCAGTCACTTTACATGCTCCTTTTATGGTGAGGTGGAGGTGTGAGGGGGCGTGACGTGACGTAGGTTTACGTGCGCAAATTGTAGTTGCAGGTGGGATTTATAAAGCAAAGATTGCAGGTTTGGTGCGTGCGGTGAGTTTTCTAAATATATGGAGTTTTTGTGGCGCACGCCTTGTCGTAGCTACAGGTGTACGCACTAACTTACGACAACTCCTGCGCAGTTTTTATAAATGAGGCCCCAGGACTGAACTAGGACTAAAATAGGACTAAAATCAGGACTAAATCAAGACTAAACCAAGATTAAACCAGGACTGACCCAGGAGGAATAAAACATGACTGAACTAGGACTAAACCAGGACTAAACCAGGACTAAACCAGGACTGAGTGTTGGGATGGGCCAGGAGGTGGCACAGGCGAGGTCGGGTGGCCGCAGGTGAAAGGACCAGCACAGAACTCCACGCACCTTGGAGCTAAGTGCAGCCGATGCCAGATCACTCTTTGTGGACACCCTGCTCCCCGAGCTCTGGGTTCTCCCTCTCTCTCTCTTAAGTCCAAGATAAGTCCTGGTTTAGTCCTGGTTTAGACCTGGTTCAGTCCTGGTTTAGTTCTGGTTTAGACCTGTGTCAGTCCTGGTTTAATCCTGATGTCTTAATGATGTTTATAGATGTTAAAAGTTCCCTGCATGAAGTTGGAAATAAAATCGTTTATAAATGCACTTTAAAAAAAAAAAAAGAAAATACAATATTAAAAATATATATTCTCAGTTGTTACTGAAACTGTAAGGAGAGGCTCACATTCACCCAATTTGAAAACCAATGATTTACAAAACCCGCTGTCTGAAGAGAGCATCATCCTGCGCACCACCTGCTCCACCTGCTGCCCTCAGGAAGAACACACAGGTCCACACGCGCCAGAACATCTAGACTGGCCCACAGCCTGGACCCTCAGGCAGTGAGGCCGCTGAAGCAGTGCCCCGCCCCCTCTCTCCCCTCCTACCGTCAGTAAACCATATCCCACCCACTACAATCACTGTGAGCTGGACTTTACATTGCTGCAACAGGACATTTAAAATACACCTGACCGGATGCCCCCTCGTTGTTGGTGTTTTGATTTGTTTTGTTGATGTGCCCTTTGCTGCTGCTAAAGTTGCTAACACTGTTTACTGTTTATCATACTTTCTGCCTGCACTGATATTACATTATTACTATAACTTATGCTAATGTTTACATAGTGGGTGTAATGTTTATGTAGTGGGTGTTATAGGGCAGCCTGGGCTCATGCCACCTAGTGCCTCCGCTCAGTTTCATTTCTCTCCAGCGACTAGATCAGGAATCAGAAAACACTGGACGGTTCACAAGACCCAGAAAGTTGTAAACCGCACACCGGCCAATCAGTAAACAGCTGTGAAGTCATGACGTCAAACTCGTTGCGTCTGTCTGTGTCCTTTTTGAGGAACAGCACAACAGTAAACAAAGCGTCGAGGTGGATGTAGACGAAGACAGACATTTTGTGTTGGTGACGATTCTCGAGATTGAGGATTTAAAGTCGGAACAAAGAGAATGTTTGGTGAATTTTATCAAGAGGAAAGACGTTATTGTCCTTCTTCCTACGGGATTTGGAGCATTACAGACGTCACGATCAAACAGCAGCGATTGGTTAAATAAAAAAAGTACCCGCCTACTGTTGAGCGAACGAATCCTAATGCTGCGAGGTCAGACAGTTTCCATGAAGTGAAACCGGCTGAAGAATCAGGTTAGTTTTGGGAGGTGCTCTACACTATTATGCACTTTTTAATGCACTCTGCAGCTGTGGTGATGCTCTAACGTAATTTCATTGTGGTTTTATATGACAGTGACAATAAAGAATTGAACTGAATTGAATAAATCTCACAATAATCCATATTTCTGCTTCGACTGCTGCCCCAGTGACTCGGCCCCGGAGAAACAGAAGAAAATGGATGGAGAATCTATATTAGCACAAATATCTCAATCTGTGTGTCATTCATTCGTTTAATAAAACCAAAAATATTTGTCTCCAAATAAAACAATAAGACTGAACCAGGACTGAGTGTCAGGACGGGCCTAAAGGTGCACCTGCGTAAACTGTTGGGTGATCAGGACTGAGACCAGGACCAGACCAGGACTGAACCAGGAATGAGACTGGGACTGAGACCAGGACCAGACCAGGACTGAACCAGGACTGAGACTGGGACTGAGACCAGGACCAGACCAGGACAGAAACCAGCACTGAGACCAGGACTGAGACCAGGACCAGACCAGGACTGAACCAGGACTGAGACTGGGACTGAGACCAGGACCAGACCAGGACCAGACCGGGAGCAGACTGGGACTGAGACCAGGACCAGACCAAGACTGAGACCAGGACTGAGACCAGAACTGAGACCGGGACTGAGACCAGGACCAGACCAGGACAGAGACCAGGACTGAAACCAGGACTGAGACCGGGATTGAGACTAGGACCAGACCAGAATTAAGATCAAAGCTAAGACCAGCACTAAGACCAGGACTGAGACCGGAACTGAGACCAGGACCAGACCAGGACCAGACCAGGACTGAACCAGGACTGAGACTGGGACTGAGACCAGGACCAGACCAGGACCAGACCAGGACTGAACCAGGACTGAGACTGGGACTGAGACCAGGACCAGACCAGGACAGAAACCAGCACTGAGGCCAGGACTGAGACCAGGACCAGACCAGGACTGAACCAGGACTGAGACTGGGACTGAGACCAGGACCAGACCAGGACCAGACCGGGAGCAGACTGGGACTGAGACCAGGACCAGACCAAGACTGAGACCAGGACTGAGACCATAACTGAGACCATGACTGAGACCAGGACCAGACCAGGACAGAGACCAGGACTGAAACCAGGACTGAGACCGGGATTGAGACTAGGACCAGACCAGAACTAAGATCAAAACTAAGACCAGAACTAAGACCAAGACTGAGACCGGAACTGAGACTGGGACTGAGACCGGGACTGAGACCGGGAGTGAGACCAGGACCAGACCAGGACCACGACCAGAACTGAGACCAGGCCCAGACCAACACTGAGACCGTGACTTGGTTTAGTCCTGGTTTAAATCTGGTTTAGTTCTGGTGTAGTCCTGTTTTAGTCCTGGGATCAGTCCTGGTTCAGTCCCGGTCTGGTCCTGGTCTGATCAAAATCCTGATCACCCCACAGTCCTCACTGGTGCACCTCCGGGCCCATAAAAAATCAAAAACAAGAATTATTAAAACCAAAATGACTTGTATTTCTAAAGTAAAATGATCAACCAGTGGAATAAAACTTTTTGTACTTAAAATATGAAAATACATCTCGCTACACTTAAAATAAGAAAAACAACAACAACTTTTTGCACTTAAAATAAAAAAAAATTTAAAAATCGAATGTTGCTTAAATTAAGAAAAACACACTTATTCCACTGGTAGATAATTGTAAAATGATCAACCAGTGGAACATGAATTTTTGTACTTAAATTATGAAAACACATCTCGCTAGATTTAAAATAAGAAAAAATACAAAAAACTTTTTGCAATTAAAATAAAAACTAAACTAAATCGCTTAAATTAAGAAAAACAAACACACTTATTCCACTGGTAGATAATTTTACTTGTCATGCTGAATTTTCTCAAATAAAGTAAAATTTTCTTAATTTAAGTCATTTTTAACTTACTTAGATATTGTTTTTTTCCAGTGCAACAACCAAAAAACAAAAACTATAACATTTGGAGCTTTGAAAATGTAAACAGACAATAAAAAAAAGGCAGAATTACGCAAACACTTGTGAATGAAACACAACTCGAGGTGTGTTTCTGATGAGATAACAACTTTATAACCCGTCTTAAATCTCACAAGAATCTATATTGTGTAACGTAGCACCTTTAAGATCGTGAAGGACGCACGGCTGAAGGGGCGGGGTCCCGTATTCACATGTTTTACTTTTGCACGCGGTTAAATAAGAGGCGGAACTACTTTACCTGGGAACTCTTTCTTTCTTTCTTTTTTTTTTCCCACCACCGCTCTCCCGGGCTTCCACCAATAATATTTGTTTCCAAGTCAGACAATAAGACGGAACCAGGACTGAGACTGTCAGGACGGGCCGGAAGTGCACCTGCGTAATGTCGGGTGATCAGGACTGAGACCAGGACCAGACCAGGACCGGACCGGGATTGAACCAGGACTGAGACTGGGACTGAGATCGGGACCAAACCAGGACCAGACCAGGACGGAGACTGAGACTGGGACCAAACCAGAACTAAGACCAGGACTGAGACTGGAACTGAGAGCGGGACCAGACCAGGACTGAGACCAGAACTGAGACAGGACCAGACCAGGACCAGACCGGGACTGAACCAGGACTGAGACTGGGACTGAGATCGGGACCAAACCAGGACCAGACCAGGACTGAGACTGGGACTGAGATCGGGACCAAACCAGGACCAGACCAGGACTGAGACTGGGACTGAGACTGGGACCAAACCAGAACTAAGACCAGGACTGAGACTGGAACTGAGAGCGGGACCAGACCAGGACTGAGACCAGAACTGAGACCAGGACCAGACCAGGACTGAGACCGGGACCTGGTCCTGGTTCAGTCCTTGTTCAGTCCCAGTCTAGTCCTGGTCTGGTCCTGGTCTTAGTCTTGATCACACGACAGTCTATGCAGGCCCATCAAAAATCAAAAACCAAAATGGCTTGTATTTCTGCTTGAAAAGTAAAATGATCAACCAGTGGAACATGAATTTTTGTACTTAAAATATGAAAACACATCTCGCTAGACTTAAAATAAGAAAAAAAACAAAAAAACTTTTTGCAATTAAAATAAAAACTAAACTAAATCGAATGCTGCTTGAATTAAGAAAAACAAACACACTTATTCCACTGGTAGATAATTTTACTTGTCATGCTCAATTTTCTCAAATAAAGTAAAATTTTCTTAATTTAAGTCATTTTTTAACTTACCTACATATTGTTTTTTTCCAGTGCAACAACCAAAAACCAAAAACTATAACATTTGGAGCTTTGAAGATGTAAACAGACAATAAAAAAAATGCTGAATTACGCAAACACTTGTGAATGAAACACAACTCGAGGTGTGTTTTTGATGAGATAACAACTTTATAACCCGTCTTAAATCTCACAAGAATCTATATTGTGTAACGTAGCACCTTTAAGATCGTGAAGGACGCACGGCTGAAGGGGCGGGGTCCCGTATTCACATGTTTTACTTGTGCACGCGGTTAAATAAGAGGCGGAACTACTTTACCTGGGAACTCTTTCTTTCTTTTTTTTTTTCCCACCGCTCTCCCGGGCTTCCACCAATAATATTTGTTTCCAAGTAAAACAATAAGACGGAACCAGGATTGAGACTGGGACTGAGACCAGGACCAGACCAGGACCAGACCGGGACTAGACCAGGACTCAGACTGGGACTGAGATCGGGACCAAACCAGGACCAGACCAGGACTAGACCAGGACTGAGACTGGGAAAAAACCAGAACTAAGACCAGGACTGAGACCGGAACTGAGACCAGGACCAGACCAGGACTGAGACCGGGACCTGGTCCTGGTTCAGTCCTTGTTCAGTCCCAGTCTAATCCTGGTCTGGTCCTGGTCTAAGTCTTGATCACACGACAGTCTATGCAGGCCCATCAAAAATCAAAAAACAAAAATGACTTGTATTTCTGCTTGAAAAGTAAAATGATCAACCAGTGGAACATGAATTTTTGTACTTAAAATATGAAAACACATCTCGCTAGACTTAAAATAAGAAAAAAAACAAAAAAAAAACACTTTTGCAATTAAAATAAAAACTAAACTAAATCGAATGTTGCTTAAATTAAGAAAAACAAACACACTTATTCCACTGGTAGATAATTTTACTTGTCATGCTCAATTTTCTCAAATAAAGTAAAATTTTCTTAATTTAAGTCATTTTTAACTTACCTAGATATTGTTTTTTTCCAGTGCAACAACCAAAAAACAAAAACTATAACATTTGGAGCTTTGAAGATGTAAACATTTGCAAACACTTGTGAATGAAACACAACTCGAGGTGTGTTTCTGATGAGATAACAACTTTATAACCCGTCTTAAATCTCACAAGAATCTATATTGTGTAACGTAGCACCTTTAAGATCGTGAAGGACGCACGGCTGAAGGGGCGGGGTCCCGTATTCACATGTTTTACTTTTGCACGCGGAAAGGTAAGAGGCGGAACTACTTTACCTGGGAACTCTTTCTTTCTTTTTTTTTTTTTTCCCACCACCGCTCTCCCGGGCTTCCACCAATAATATTTGTTTCCAAGTAAGACAATAAGACGGAACCAGGATTGAGACTGGGACTGAGGTCGGGACCAGACCAGGATCAGACCAGGACTAGACCAGGACTCAGACTGGGACTGAGACTGGGACCAAACCAGAACTAAGACCAGGACTGAGACTGGAACTGAGAGCGGGACCAAACCAGAACTAAGACCAGGACTGAGACTGGAACTGAGAGCGGGACCAGACCAAGACTGAGACCAGGACTGAGACAGGACCAGACCAGGACTGAGACCGGGACCTGGTCCTGGTTCAGTCCTTGTTCAGTCCCAGTCTAGTCCTGGTCTGGTCCTGGTCTTAGTCTTGATCACACGACAGTCTATGCAGGCCCATCAAAAATCAAAAACCAAAATGGCTTGTATTTCTGCTTGAAAAGTAAAATGATCAACCAGTGGAACATGAATTTTTGTACTTAAAATATGAAAACACATCTCGCTAGACTTAAAATAAGAAAAAAAACAAAAAACTTTTTGCAATTAAAATAAAAACTAAACTAAATCGCTTAAATTAAGAAAAACAAACACACTTATTCCACTGGTAGATAATTTTACTTGTCAATCTGAATCTTCTCAAATAAAGTAAAACATTCTTAATTTAAGTCATTTTTTAACTTACCTACATATTGTTTATTTCCAGTGCAACAACCAAAAACCAAAAACTACTACTAGTCTATAACATTTGGAGCTTTGAAGATGTAAACATTTGCAAACACTTGTGAATGAAACACAACTCGAGGTGTGTTTTTGATGAGATAACAACTTTATAACCCGTCTTAAATCTCACAAGAATCTATATTGTGTAACGTAGCACCTTTAAGATCGTGAAGGACGCACGGCTGAAGGGGCGGGGTCCCGTATTCACATGTTTTACTTGTGCACGCGGAAAGGTAAGAGGCGGAACTACTTTACCTGGGAACTTTCTCTCTCTTTTTTTTTTTTTTTGTTGGTGGTTTTTTTTGTTTCCACCACCGCTCTCCCGGGCTTCCACCAATCTGCGTCCGCCCTCCCCGTGTCTAATCACCGCGCACGCTTCAGCGCTTAGTCAAACTCGGCGAGGGGCCCACACAACAGCGGCATTCAGCAGCAGCAGCAGCAGCAGCAGCAGCGGCGGGCGCGTTCGGGGGAGAGAAAAGAGGAGAGAGAGGGGCCGGAGATTGCGCGCACCACGGTGGATAGAAACGAGCATTGCCGCGCCGGACGAGCTCAGTTCACGCCTGGCTTCCTCGCTCCACTCCCCGCTGCACTTTTTTCCCTCTTTGATCCCTCAGCTTCGCGCACTGCCACAGCCACTTCCTCCGCGACTCTCCCGGATTAGAGGCAACACGCGTGGATGGTTATGTAAGTTTATTTAAACGCGTAAATGTTCGTGTTATTTATTTATTTTTTTCGCTTATTTGTCAGTTTTACGCACGTGTTTAGTCGTGCGTAAAACGACTTTGGCACGACATTTCAGGTAAAACCACGGTCGTGTTTGAAAGGTTGCAATGTTTCTAGTAACTTTTTTAACGCGTTTGTGGATGAGACCATGCGAGGAGTCTGCAGTTTATCAAAATCGATCAAATTTAGACGATAACACGTGTTTTGAATATTTTACGCTATTTTACACTACTATTTGGTCATATTTTAATGCAAATGTTGACTTCTAAAATAAAAAGCCAACAAGTGTTCATGGTGCACGAAGTTTAGATGATGCTTGGTTACGTTTACGGTTCACTTTTTATCGTAATTTTCGTTTTTGGCATTCAATGTTACGCTGAAATGTCGTTGTCACTGTTGCATTTTGTGATTTCTTGAACATTTATGATGTTACTCCACGTACTTGCTGCCAATGTTTACTTTTTGGTGCACAATATTACTAAATGTTCCATAGTTTTGCTTTAAACGTGTCTACTTTGCACGTGTTCGCTTGCAGGTGTTTTGTAACTGGAATACGCATCGGAAAAACGTGCATGTTTATCGTGAGCAAGCTCGGTTTTGCACAAAATCGAGTCAAAGCTGTAACATTTCCATGGAAACAAGCAGGTGAGGAGCATCTCTCCACCTGGAAAGTTACGCAGTGCACGTTTTTAAGACTCACGCTGACGTTTTATAGAGACGTTTCAAAGCTTCGGAGACAGGAAATTGCCTCCGTGCTTCTTCTTTTTTTTTTATAGGTTCTTATGTCAGACACGCATGCAAATTGTGCATTGAGTGACTAATGGGTGACTGGTTTTACGGTTGTCGTTGGTTTTGGAAGGAGGAACACGTGCGCGCAGACGAATCAAAGCCACTGAACCTTTGGAAAGAAGTGCACGGAGCGGAGGAGGCGTGCGCGTAATGGGCAACTACCACACAGGGAGAAAATGGAGAGGGAGGGAGAGCGCGAGGGAGGGAGGGGGGAGGAGTTTTATGTCCCCGATTTGGGAGGCGAGACGGTGTGAATGTAGAGTCAACACGGTTTTACTAGACCTACATGGAATAAGCAGTTGTAAGTGGAATAAGCGCTTGGGTGTCATTGAGAAGTCGCTGAAACGATACAAACCTCGATACACAGGCCAGGATATGATAAATATCTCGATACAGTGAGCTTTCGATTTGATACGGTTAAATAAAAATGTCTAAATCGTGGTTGTGATACTAAAAGTCTTTGTTAAACCACTTCATGTGCAAAGTTCATATGAAACACAAACATTTTACTCATCAAAACAGTGAAAACGTGAAATGTTGCAGGAGAATCCGTGTATCATTTGTTCGTTTTTCTAAATAAAACCAATAATAAAATGGAGGGGAAAAAATAAATTTCTTCATTATTTGTCTCCAAAATCAAAATGGGAAAAAAAAAGGATAACAATTTGCTTTTTCAGTTTTCAATTTGTGAATGAATGATGGAAAAGGTCCAGGACTGGGCCCGAGACTGGGGGGACCGAGACCGGTTTAGTCCTGGTTCAGTCCATATGCGGCACAAAAGTCCGGCATCGCAGTTTAAGTCACCGAAACGGGAAACGGTCGTTATCCTTTTTTTTTTTTTTTCATTATTTATTTAAATACAAAATCGAAAACTGAAAAAATGACTCGTTATCCGTTTTTTCATTTTTGGTTTTACAGACAAATAATTAAGAAAATGTTGTTGTTTTTTGTGTTCTTATTTTTCATTTTATTTTGAAGAACGAATGACACACAGATTCATGAGTTTCCCAAACTTCTTTTTTTTTCTGGGGACCCATATTTTAAAAGTCTCAAACCTTCAAGTCCATAGATGTTATTCACAAATCACAAAGTAAAAGTGGATTTGAGTGCTAACACTGAACATTAATGAGGATATTTTATTGTTGATTAGGGCTGGGTATGATTCAGAAGTTGCCGATACGATACATATCTCGATACAGTTCAATAAAATAAAGTTTAAATCATGGCTGTGAAACTAAAAGTCTTTGTTAAACCACTTCTTGTGCAAAGTTCATATGAAACTAGTGGTGTAACGATATCCAGATCTCACGATATGATATCAATCTGTGTGTCATTCATTTTTCAAGATAAAACTAAAAATAAGAAAATGAAAAAAACAGTTTTTCTTCATTATTTGTCTCCAAAACCAAAATGAAAAAACGGGTAATGATTAGTTCTCGATTTTGTGTTTTAAATGAATAACGGAAATAATGACTGATTGATTGACTAATGATTAAACTGTGTTGCCGGACTGAACTAGGACTAACCTGGGGCCGGGGACTGAGGCCGGGGACTGGGGCCGGGGACTGGGGCCGGGGACTGGGGCCGGGGACTGAGGCCGGGGGACTGAGGCCGGGGGACTGAGGCCGGGGGACTGAGGCCGGGGGACTGAGGCCGGGGGACTGAGGCCGGGGGACTGAGGCCGGGGGACTGAGGCCGGGGGACTGAGGCCGGGGGACTGAGGCCGGGGGACTGAGGCCGGGGGACTGAGGCCGGGGGACTGAGGCCGGGGACTGAGGCCGGTTTAGTCCTGATTTACTTTTGTTTTAGTCCTGTTTTTTTCCGAATGCAGCGCAAAAGTCCAGCATCAGTTTAAGTCACGGAAACGGCCGTTATCTGTTTTTTTCCATTATTCATTTGAACTCATTCATTTCAGACTGCAGCCTGAAGTGACCCAAATCTGATTTTTTTCACCCCTATGCTCCTGTATCTGATCTTTTAACAACCGTCTGAATGACGCAGATCTGATTTTTTTTCAAATGCGACCCAGGACACTTAGATATGTGCTCCTGAAACCGATACATATCTGATCTTTTGAAATGCGACTTCAGTCTGAACGGTCAGGTCACATTCATCCACCTACACGTCAGGCTCAGAGTCTCGTCACTGGAGGGAAAGTGAGGTTAGAGAGTTTATTCATATTTGGGGGATCACTGTATTCAGGCCAAATTGGAGGAGTCTTACCAGAACCGGGCCAAAGAAGTGTCCGAGCGCAGCTACAGACGGTCCCAGCTCCAACGTCAACGAAAAATAAAGATTCTGCGAGCCAAATACAAGGAGGATATAGACTCAAACAAACAAAGCGGCCGTGGACGTGTAACCTGTCCATTTTACCAAGAACTGGACCGGATTTTGGGAGACGAGCCCAGAGTTTAGGCGACTTCGCTGTGTTTGACGTCGTCGTGACCTCCAATGCTCATGCGGGACACTTTTGGGGCATTTAAAGTTCACATACAAGTCACATTTAATTAGAAATGTGAACGACCTCACAAAAAAATCAGATTTCATTTAAAAAAAATCCAAATTGAGCATTAAGCCCTGCAGTCTGAACATAGTCTAAGTGCACTTTTTTTTAGTAGACTGAAGGACATGCATCACGGTCACCATGTTTGTTTAGGTGGTTTGAGTGCTTCACCTTTTGACTTCCTCCAAACCAGAGCTCCGCTTTGTGATTAGCAGCGCTGAGAACTTCAATAGTTTCCTGCAGGATAAACAGGGGCTGCACTGTAGAGATAAATGACACATCGGTTGGCCAATAAATCAAGCCGATATTTGTGCTTTTAGTGCGTAGACCACATATGACCTTTGCTTGACTCTGACCGGCCTGTTTATTTTGAAATTCCAAATTAGTTTACACATATTTTATTATTTTACCTCATGCAAAGACTAAAGCTGCATTAGTTTTTTTTATTTTAGAGGTGTTTTTAATGACATTTTTTGTAAGGCAGCTGAACTTTTTCATTGCTTACCATCTGACCAGCTCATCCAAACAAAGATATTTATTGTTTTTTATAAATCATTTGACATTTAAACTTCATATTGTGCACTCTTCAGGTTTCATTGACTTTTTTTTGAGTTTGAAATGCATGGATCTGTTTTTATACTACTTTATCTCAATGGCACTGCGTAACTTTTAGGTTGGGGGTCCGTCACCTGCTTGTTTCTACAGATATGTCATCGCTTTGCCTGGAATGTTCCACAGCGTGACATTAAACAGCTCTACCTTAAACTACAGGTGGTTTCATGGCTCAAAAATACGTAGAAAAACAGACATTCTGACTGTGAGCGGGGTCGCCTCTCCACGGTTCTGACCTGTAACTCGGTTTGGTTTGGTCTCCATGAAGCTAGAAAGGTTTAAACCCTTCAAGACGTAAGGGTAATTTTAGTACATTTGTCCTCGCCTGGATTTTTTATTCTTAATTTTGCTTTTAAAACTCCAAATTTTACCCGTAATGAAGTGTTCTACATCTTTTTTTTTTTTTTTTTTTTTTAGTACAACCTGTTATTTCACAATCTGCTGCTGAAATAAAAGTTACAGGACCAGAAATACAAAAACAAAAATGAAATTGACACACTTTCATACAAAACGCACAGCAAACGTGTATAAACAACTTTTTTGACATAAAAAAATGCTTAATTTAAGGGCTCAGCTACAAAAATGCAAAATATCAAGTCTGTAAATAAACTAAAAATATCCTTATTGCCTCAAAAAGAAACTAAAAAGTGCAATGGCCCCGTGACTTTCCTGGTGCGAGTCATTGAAACAGATGGTGTCAGGTCCAGGACACAAAACCACCTCACATCCTGCATTTCTGTGATGTTTATTATAAAAAGGGATGCGCAATCACGCAGACTGAGATGTGTAATTAATTTGAGAAATAGGAGCGACTTTTTAAATTGTTATGAACACAGACGCTCAGAGCATCGACCATTTTGACTCACTACACTCTTTGACAAAGTTTGGACCAGTCGAAATGGACGGAGCGCATGAGTTTGCTGGAAAACTAAATTCCTATTGGACACTTGTTTTCCTAACGTCATGACGCAGCGGGTGACGCAGGATAATAAGCCAAAGATGTTCATTTTATCTTATATACTTTAACTTCTTGGGTTCTTTTTAAAGACAATACAGT